AAACATAACAATCCTTTTTAAATTTAGTAATTTTGGGCAAACCATCCAGTCTTCGCATAGGAGGGGATACATAGCGAGTACTTTTGGTTTCAATATTCGATGTTTTCTGATAACAGCTACCGATATCATTTAAAGATTTTCTTTTACAAGCAAAGAACATGTCACATTCCTTTCTGATTTCCGCGTGTTTTAACCAAGTATCGCCTTGTTTTGACATTTATATGCATGGCTGTTTCGTGATCAAGAGTTTGCATTAATTTATCGGCTACAATTAATTCATGGATTGTATTTAAATCATTCGCATTCCTTAAGGTGCAATAGTATATCTCCACTGTGTCATTAACCGGGCTGCAAATTGTGCATGTGTTTCCCCTGTCTGATGTTTAGCCTTTCGAAACATATCCAAACATGCTTGAGCAAGTTGGCTGATATTCTTTTAAGATTTTATTAGCCTTAAACTGCTTTCGTAATTTTTGACATCATCTTCACTAACATAAATCAAAGTGTTTGTTGCATTTTCACCTAAAAGATTTTGGCTTTATCAAAATTTCGGCTTTATGTTCTTCTGGTACACATTTTTAATCTTAAATGCTCTTTCTAGCAAAGAGAAATAAAGTGTCCATGATTCCGCACGAGTCGGAACGGATATCGTTAAAGTTTTTATGCTTTTAATTAAATTTTCTAACGATGCGTTATCCGAAAGATTAAAATTAGATGAAACTCTAAGTTTTGCGATTTCTAATTAGTGTTCTTTTCCTAATTTAAATTTTTCTAATTCTTCAGCTGATTTCCTATCATCAATTATGGATATTAGCATAGATTTAACGAATTCAGGATCAGTTTTGTAATCATTACTGTTAGTAATTTTATCTTTCAGTTCTGTGAGTTTAAAACTTTCATCAACATCCTGACCTAGTTCTTTTGCCAATAAAAATAAATCTTGTTTCTTGAGACCTTTAACCGAAAACATTTTGCGACTTTCTTATAACTTCGTAATAGAGCGCTAATTAGTTCAAACTATTATAGTAACACCCGTTAAATGTTCAAGTTGCAATTTTTGTTCAAGTTGCAATAATTTTTCTCATTATACAGTTTACGTAACTAAAATTTAAGTTAGAGTCACTTTAAAATAATAGGTAAGCATAAATCACTTACCTTTTCTCCGTTGAAGTGTTAGTTTCAATTCTAATCATGCCATACTGCGCCAGTGTAAGATCCAGCCGTGTCCAGTGGCGTAATTAATAGACTCTAATTTATTCACACCATCAACGTAAACTATATACACTTTGTACAAATAGAAATATATAAAATAATAGGATTGTTAAATTTATAAAATTACCACACTGAGCATTCTGAGCATTCGGCCTCTCCCACTGAAAGCCAGTCTCCAACTGACCGTTTTTCCGCCTAGAGGGCGCTACTTATTTTCAGGGTTACAGTTTCGGAAGGCCAGGCACTAGAATGTCCATTAAACAAAAAGTGGAAATGCTTTAAGAAATGGATAGGGATATATCTGTCTCAAATTTATGCGAGGAGTAGGGCATTAAAAAGTCAACTCTCTATGACATAAGCAAACAGAAAATGAAACTTTTTGAATTTTTTGTTGATTCAGACACCCCACTGACAATGAATAAAAAATAAAAAATAAAATTTATTATTTGTTATTATTTGCTAAAAATGATGATCATGACAAAGTGATAATTGAATGGGTCAGACAGCAATGGCTCAAGAGAAAATATTTCGTTATGAAATGAACTTAGAAACTGAGTGCACATATTCTAGAAGTTCATATTTAAAAATAGCCATGGTATAAGGCAATTAAAACTTTTAGGTGAAAAGCTTCAGCTGATACTAAAGTTGCTGAACTATCTGCAGATGAATTCACTGAACTCATTGATAGTGAAAAGTTATCTCTAGAACAAATTTACAATGCTGATGAAACTGGTGTTTCATGAAATCAATAATGTATCATGAAATACCTTTGCAACCTCTACAGAAAAGGCTCCAACTGGTGTGAAAGATTCCAAAATGATACTAGCAAGTTTTTCATGTGCAAATGCTGCAGGAATGCATAAATGTAAACTTTTTGTTTCTTCCAAATTGTGTGTCTCTCATTCAGCTTATGGATATTGGAATAGTCTGATACTAAAGTTGCTGAACTATCTGCAGATGAATTTACTGAACTCATTGATAGTGAAAAGTTATCTCTAGAACAAATTTACAATGCTGATGAAACTGGTGTTTCATGAAATCAATAATGGTATCATGAAATACCTTTGCAACCTCTCTGCAGAAAAGGCTCCAACTGGTGTGAAAAATTCCAAAACGACACTAACAAGTTTGGCATGTGCAAATGCTGCAGGAATGCATAAATGTAAACTTTTTGTTTCTTCCAAATTGTGTGTGTCTCGTTCAGCTTATGGATATTGGAATCCGAAAAGTGCCATGGCAGTCAATGTGTTAATGGAGTTTGTAAAGAAATGTGAGAAGCAGTAGTAAATAAAGGTGATATTGTAGAGTCATTAGGTTAATTGGAAGTGGAAAAGATGAAAAATAGCAAATGCCTTCACCGGGAATCAAACCACGGACCTCCGGCCCAGCGTGCTACCGTTACACCATGAAGGCACGCTAGGGAAGTGGGAGAAATACCTCATATACTCCCCTTTTTAAAGGGCGACTAGGGTTTTAGGGGACCTAGTTGCCAAATGTTGGGTGCGGAGAATCATCATTCACAACCCTTTTAGTTCGAGCGCCACTTGTAGAGACATTAAGTATTTTTTTGGAGCCAGAGAGAGGTAAAATTAGCAACGCCTTCGCCGGGAATGAAACCACGGACCTCTGGAATACCGGCCCAGCATGCTACCGTTACACCACGAAGGCACGCTAGGGAAGTGGGAGAAATACCTCATAATATAAAATGATTTTCATTGCAGTGACAAGCCCCCAGTCATTAATTAATTAATAGACAGTGAAATCTGTAGTATGGTTCTAGATTCAGAAAATACCACTACCATTAGTGAAGAAAGTGAACAGCGAGGTTATTGTTAAGTTAATTGAAATTCTCGACACAGCAATTACAGGACTTGAACAATAGAACTATGTAACCGAACAGGAAACTATGTCTGTGTATAGAATTAAAGAGAAAGTTTAGCACAAAAATACGAAACAACTTGCATTGAAGAAACATTAAGCTTTTTTTTTTTTTTTTGTTTGCTTCATTATTTCATATTTTCAGTATTACTTGTGTAATTTCTACATGCCATCTTATTAGATTTAAACTGAAGATCTAATATCTGGAAGAATCCCAAATTTCGGATCGCCAAGGTCCCAATGAATCTGGATCTCATACTTTGTACTGTATATGTAAAACCATAATTTTCTTTATTCAGAAGTATTGTATTCTAGGAAAATTTATCATTATAAATAATATGTATTAGATGTAATGAATCCTAAATTTTATTGAATCTTAATACAAATCCTAAAAGATTCTTTAATTTTTTAAACCTCGTGTACTACAAGAGTAATGAAGAGGTGGATGACTTCTAATTCAAAGTTTTTAGTTAAAGCAAAATTTGGAATCTGCATTTCATGCAAAATGAATATCCATCCATATTTGTTAAAAAAGATACAAAAGAAATTTAATAAGAGAATAATAAAAAACTCTAATCACAGGGTTCATTACTAACCACCGTGGTTTCACCATCCGTTGACTGAGGATCCAAGTCAAATGAAATGGCAACAATCATATTCATTTTCCAATAATTCTTTCTGTCAGATATCATTAAAACTAATTGTTCCAAAGGTGTGTCATAAGGAGATTTTAGGTTAAGATTCAAAAGATTCAAATGATGAATAAAGTGTGAAAATATGAGTTTCCCTATCTTAAATCTTTTCTTAGATTCATGTGATTTTAGAATTGGAATGTCCCATCCCAAGTACTGTTAACAAACTAGGATATGTAAAAATAAGAATTAATTTCATATTATTAAATGCTGATACTACTTAACCTTTAAAATATTTGCAGTAATTGGAATATAAATGCATTTATTATTAGACAGTTTTATTTTAATGCTTTTCTTTTAATAAAATATTTCAAAAAGAATCTTAGTAAAAATACATTGAATTTATTCGATAAATTAAAGTAGTGAAGCACTTTTATTGAAATTGTTTTAATGAACTAAACTAAAAATGCATTTTATTCTCTATTTACCCAACCATTCAGGACTGATGATAAATTTTTTTCTTGGAGACACTAAAATAAGCATACAAGATGTTACTTTTCATTACAACTGAGCCTTGTTATTACATAGTTGCAAGTCTGCATTACACAACTTTGCATTGGTGCAGTGTGCCTCCAGTCCATAGGCATACCTAGTTGTGCCAGTTTGTTGCATTGCAGGGCATGTCACAGATATCATTCATTACTTACCTACAGGCAGTGGAGGTGCATGTTTTTGTTACTTTTTTTGGTCACATGTATGTCAGTCCTGTCATTAGCTTGCTTTCTGCTGTTGTCTCATGGCACCAATATGAAGTACAGTGCTATGTGGCGAAGTGTCCTTAAATGATGTAAATGATTATAGGAGTAAACTTATGTCTCTTGCATACAAATCAGACATTATACTACCAGAAAATTATGTAATGAAAAATATTAGTGTAAAAATTGGAGAAGTAAAATATATTTAATTTTATCTACAAATTATAATAATGAAATTCTCCAGAAAAGCCTTATTCTGCGTAAGGGTTTCATGAGTTAACAGAGTTTGAAGATCACTGTTTTAGACTATCTCACATGGCTACCTCATAATAAACATATTTTAACTGAGCATATAAAGCTATTTTTTCTCTTGTTAATTTTGCAAAATAATATTTTTTCTGTTGATATCAAAACAACCATCTTTAAAGTCATATTGCACTACATTATTATCTAAACCTGCCCTGTCTGCAATCTGTAAAGTCACATTCTGCTACATTGTTACCTAAGCCTGCTTTGTTTGCAGATATATTTATGATTCTTCCATGAAAAACTACAAGTGGCTAAGAAGAAAAAGAGAAAAGTTACAAGCTATAGGAACAAAACTGTAAAGAAAATTTAGTATAGAACAGCTATTCACGATTGGTAGTATGCAAAGAAAGTATTTTTAACTATTAAATTTTCCTCAAACATTCGTAAATTTACGGAATATGAGCTTTATTCAAGGTCAATAGCCGCTCATAGACTTCAGTAAAACAATCTATTTTTATTTTCACAAATATTCTTTGAGGAGTAGATAAAACAAAATTTGTCATAAATGATGTTTTTAAAGGTAGTAATAGAAATGGATGTTGTATTTAATAGGAAATAAAAATAAATTCCTACAAAAAGATAATAGTGTCTCATTAATTCTTTTACAGTTGATTGATTTATTTGCATGTCTGCACTTTATTTCTCCACCATTTCTGCGCTTATATCACTCTGTTTTCAATTAGAATAATTTTTTACGTCAATTTCGTTTCTCTAACTGCAGGCATTTTGTCTTGTTGCTTATGTATTCATTACTTTTCTGCACGATTTGGGAATATTGTCGTCTGTTTTTGAAGAACTCATCATATATTGTGCATTTAAATATCTCTGATAAAAATAATAAAACGCACTTAGATTTTCAAAATGGAAAAATGGGTAGTACTGAATAAGCGTAGAAGTGGTGATTTCTACGCTATTTTCATGTTCTGGTTGTTTAAAAATGCCTAGAACGAGGTATCTTACATTAGAAGGAGCCCTTCAAAGATTTTTTGATGCAGAAACAGATGATGATAATGTTAATAATGACCAGAATGAAACTGATGCTGTTGTTGTTTCCCCAGAAATTGCAGAGGCTAGTGGCGAAGAAGAAAGGAATAGCAATGTTTAAAATGATGATATTTTACCAAATGATACTGCTGTGGATGTTGAAATTCACGTGAAAAGTAAGTTTCAGCCTTCTAAAAGCAGTTATAGTCCTACTAAAAAGTTTAAAAAGCAGAAGAGATAAAAAAGGAACTGTTAATTATGTCTCAGGAAGAACATGAAGAAAGATAGAAGAGAAATTATAAAAGACAAACAGAAGGTAAAACTAGTGCACGTATTTTCGATTTTCTTTTTGGTTTAGACATTTACTCTCTTCTCGTTGAACAGACAAATATATACGCTCAGGGAAAAAAATGCCCAGAATTTCTTGCATCTGAAGCCTATATGAGAAGATTTATTGGAATATTATTGCTTACAGGATATCATTCTTTACCTCAAGAAAAAATGTATTGGTCTTTTGATAAGCACATTTCTGTTCCTGTTGTACGAGAATTGATATCACGTTTGCAGTACAGGAATATGAAGCAGAATTTGCATTTGACAATAGTCAAATTGACAATACTGATAAATTATATAATGTGAGACCGTATCTAAACTTACTAAATATCACCACTTTTTACTACTGGGAATATAAGGTCTGTTTTAGATTTCAGACGCGAGAATGCATTATTCCTTTTGCAAACTCCTATTGAGAGTGTAGAATTAGACAGAAATATATCAGCTACAGAAAGACCTAGTAAATTCAGCATTCAAAAACCATTGCATGGAGATGGTAGACATTTTATCGTAAAGTCTGTTGATAACAAATGACTTTGTTGTAAAGAGTACCATAGCCAGACTGTTTGTAGATGCAAAGTATGTAATGTAGCTTTACATCATGATTGTAATCAAGCTTTTCTTGCTTGAATCTTTCAAATGAAATAATCTGTATTTGTAAAAGAAATACAATGTATATTTTACTATTAAATTAATTACAAGTAAAGTGATTTGTAGATTTATAAAACGTTATACAGCTAAAAAGTAATCCTGCGCTCCACTCAAAAGAAACATCACACGAGTACAATCCTACTCACTAAACATCCGTAGTCTTATTCCGCTGATGTTGTGCGAACGCAACACTCGCTTTTTCCACAGGTAAGAGCATTTTTTTTTATTTTCAATGTAAATTTATGTTATAAATGCTTAATTTAATATTTGTTATTATTTTCATGAGAAAAGAAACATTCCTTGTAGTTTTGGCTGTTAATGGGTTAAAAGTTTGACCACGGCTATAGAGAGAAGTTAAACTGTTGCCAGTTCATTCTCAATGAGGCTGTTTATGATGAATTTCACTTTCACAAAATTTGTATATTCATTATAAACTTTCATGAAAATTGTTTACAAAGCTCCTTAAGCAGATAATCCTTCCATACCTATTCTGAACTATGATTATCGTAGCAAATGAAACCATAAGAGATCGCTGGTAGTCATAAGATTGCTAAAGTGAATCTTCATTTTCTAGTTTTATTTAACTTTTATCAGGTTTTGATCCCTCCAATATCCCTTTTTCTCATTTGGCCACCCTTCTAAATTATATGTTTCTGAGAAGAGAGTTACTTCTTCCCTATCTTACAATCAATTAATCTTGCTGTAGACTTGCGGTGAGGACTGAGCAATCATTAAGCATCTTCTCTTCCAGCAGTCAACATACTGACGGCCTATTCTTTGGTAGAAATGAGCCAAAGCTCTAACACTCCTATGAAGGAAACTCAGAACACAGATAGGACATGAGAGGGTGACCTAAGAATTGCTACATGATTTCTTTTCCAGTGCAATAGTACTACTGGCATGGCTGAGATCATTTTTGCTAGATGTCATTGTAGGGAGAAATGCTGTCCCATCTTACTGCAAGAAATGCTATCATAGCTTAATCTTTATCGCATTTTTCAACATATACTTCATGGCAGAGTTCTACTCTGCTTACATGTAGTGAATTTATGCTAACAAACTCTAGCTCCAAGGTCATCTTAGTATATACTGTAAGATGGCATAGGAGCCTGCTCTGAAAACTGCATTCAGCTGAATGAACCACATTGGATCACACCTTGGAATAACAATCATGGTTTTAGACAGTTACTGTTATTTTTCATGTATCTCAGGCAAATTTCATAGTATGAAGAACATTCAACATGTCTAATCTGAGCATTTTGAAATTAGATATTTCTTTCATTTCCTACATACAGAGAAAATTTTTTTGATGAAAAGTATTTTTTATTTATTTATTTATTTTTCGTCTCCATAGTGTTTGAAGGGAAGAAAATACTGAATTGAATGGGGGCAGGGCACACATATAATTTAAACGTGACATTTACGTCCCCCCTTTTTTTAGGAAAAATTGTTAAAAAGCTTGAAAATGGCAAAATTATGCAAATATGTGACAGTTTGTTTATATTTAATATTTGTTAAATGAAGATTTCTTTTTTTTTTTTTTTGAAATGGAGAAAATTTTTTCATTCCAGATTCATAAAATTGTGATTCAACTGTATATAATTTTCTCAATCACAATTTTCTTATTTATTAATAAATATAGTTGTTTTTCTATTTATATTAATTTTTTAATTAAAAATGTTAGAAGAAAATTTATACCTGTGTTTATAAAAGGAAGTTTTCTATGTAGGAAGAATTTCTGTTGTTGATGTTTCTTAAAAACTTTCTTCCTATGGAAATCTGAATGAGTTACACAGATCATGGTTTTAAAACTTTATTTGTATTTTAGTATGTATCCTCGTGTGTGATATAGTATCAGATGTTTAAATTTGGATCAATGCTATTGCACCACATTGTCCATTTTTCGTTAATAGTTATTTCTTACTGCAGCATGTAGCATATTTGATCATGTAAAACATATCGCTTTGAAGCCAGTGTACTGAAAGTGAAACTCTGGATTTTATTTTGCAAGAGTGTACACCTTTTGAAACATTAAAAATTTTATTACAGAAGTAGTATAATTCTTAATTTTTGAAAGACCTTTTATTTGTAACTAATTTCCAGTTGAAAAATTTCGCAAAGTAATTTTTTTTTCCTGTTCAACTCTGATTTTCTTCTAAATTATCAGTATTCTGGAATACTTAACTCAAACAATGGAAACTATCATGAATAATTTGCGTAATGAAACATTGATACTAATTTCAAGCTGTAAAACTTAATGCAGTGATCTCAAATTGGTAGCTGCTGGACTGTGTTTAGCCCTCTGAAGTAATTTTATGGGGCATTCAGTTATGGATTTCTTTTAAATACTTGCACAAAGCTTTAGAGACATAGAGATATGAATTAAGATTGTGTGTGCAGGTGCTATTAAAGGAGAAATATGTATTGAATTGGTTTTGTCACTGTGTGCTTATATGCCAGCCCACATGACTAGAATAATTTGGGATAACTTCCCACATCAGAATGCACCAGAAAAATCTACAAATGGAGCTAATAAAATAAAATTTAATATTAATTTATTATAATAATAATAAATTTACATTGTGATATAAATATTATTCAAATATTTGAATATTTAGATTTAATGAAATTGAATTAATTAAGATTTGTTCTTGCCAAAAGAAAAATATCCTCAATTACGAAATTTTGCAATAAAAATATTCACTTTGTTTGGGAGGAGATTTATATGTGAACAGTTTTCTCCTTCAGTTCAAAATTAAATAGTCTAATAAAAAAGAACCTAGTAGTCAGATGAGCATCTACAATCCATGATGTATTTAGTTTATAGTGATTTTCAAGGCTACAAACTTGATTAGAATCGAAATGCCATCAAGTCCCAGTCAGAAATAAAGTTCATAATTATTTATGTGCATATGGATGCATTTTTTTCTGTACATGTTAAAAATTTTTTAAATAAAAGGCAGTAGGTTTTCATAAATTATTTGAAAGTTTTGTCCTACATGGAACATTTTCTCTGAAAACTTAAAAGTGTTTTCATAATTTGCTTATTGTAAGTTAAAAGTAAATTATTTAGTGGCTAATGTTAGAATTATTTGAAGCAAAGCGTCATTCTGAAACTAATAATTATGTTTGAATTACAATCTGTAACCTGCCTTTAGATTTCAGATAGAAAATAAATATAAATCTGAATATTTTTTCCCATTATTACTGATTATGTAGGTTTTGGTTAATATTTAATAAGTAAAATACAAGATGTATTTAAAGTTTTGTTTTGTTCAAATACATTTTTCATCTTGCTAAAAAAATTTCCAGCCCATCAGTTGCTTTTAAATCGTGTGTTCAGCCCATGTGCAATTTGAGTTTTAGATCACTGCATTAAGTTAAAGCAATCTTAGCCTTAACTCATGTGTTTTAATAGAATTGTATTCAAAGTTTTTAGATTTTGAAATTTCTGTCATTCAGATATTGAAATTTACCAGATATTAAAATCAAATGATACATTTTGAAAAATTTTCTTGGTTATGAAATGCATCTTTATTTAGCTGCGTTTTTTTTTTAAATATTGAATTTAAACCAATGACTGTGTGTATGTGTGTGTGTGATAGAGAGAGATGAGAATTTTAATGTCATGGTTGAATGCTAGTGTAATTTAAGTAATACTTTAAAATTTAGCTATTTTGATGTGTTTGTTTCTGCATAATGTGATCCTTCATTTAAGTTTCTGGAAGTTGGTGTGGTGACAGACATGTTATACTTTGGATACATAATGTGCTAAAACATTAATTTCTTCAGTAGTTCTTTGAAATTTTATTGAAAAAAACAATCTTAAAATTTGTGTGTCTTGGTCATATATTTCAAATGTTATATAAATTCACATTTGTGTGTATTTTTTAAAAATTTTAACTCTTTTTTTAAAATTCAGTCATACAAAATTAGAAGGAAAGTATGAAAAAGGGCATATTGCTTACTGAAAAGTCAGTTTATGTAGTCATTCACTGTAATTGGTCAGATACATCAACTTTTGTTTACACTCTTACAAGTTTTTATTAATGTGGGTGTGCATGAGGGGATGAAAACTCTTTATTTACTAAATGTTTTTAGTTAAAATATGAACATGACTTACATAAGTAACAATCTTCTCAAATTATTTTCAAATTTTGCATTCATAACAATTTACATCATGTCTACAGATTGTCTGTCTCTCATTCTGAACTACTTATACCATCTTAGATTTATGACATTGAACATAATGTCTGATGTATAAAAACACAGAAAGAAGTTTGTTATCACTTCAAGCAAACATTGGAAAACA